TGCAAAGACAATAAAGGCAAAACCTCTCGATCTTCCTGTGTTGGGATCTGTTTTAACATTAATACTCTCAATGTCACCATAAGTGCTAAAATGTTCCCTTAATTCCTCTGAAATAAATTAAAGATATTCGTGACGGATTTCTGGATAAAACGCAATCTATCGACGATTGGAAATTATTAAATATAAGAATACTCACTGTCAGTAGTTTCCCAGCTCAAACCACCGACAAATAATTTTCTGTAAACAATAAACAGAAATAAAAATTTTAAGCAAATGTAATAGAGAATAATATGTTTGCCGCCCTAACTTTCCAACCGCTGTATCGCGGTGTTATGATAATTGTAGTAATATTATTTTAATTGAATTTATATAGGCACATAATATTAAAAAGTAAACGAAAGAGAGAAATAGGAATTGAATGTGCCTGTATCAATCATCCTGATTACTTCCGGTCAACCTGCAAAGCAATGGAACTAATTTATTTTACCAAAGAAAGAACAGATTTTTTAATAGTTATTAAACTAATTGCTTCTAATGAATTTAATGTTGATTTAATGTCATTCCTGTGCAAATTAAAGTTGTACTACAATTTAATAGAATGCAATTGATGGATGATCCATGATGCTATCTGGAAAAGGCACTGCAAAAAATTTTGTTGTATTTAACAAGCACGATAATAGCTATTTCTAATAGGGAATAGGAATTCCAATTGCAGCAATACACAATGTAGGTGTTGTCCTACATATAGATTTGGAAAAATAAACGTTCCTTGCGTGTGAGACTAAACAAGATTCGTTATACTGATAATAAGAGGTAAAAGTTACAAGATACCATATTCCTAGAACAAATGAACTTTTATCAAGATAAATGTATGTTATTGTACAAATTACATATGCAGTTGCTACGCGGAAGCGTAGTAAAATTAAAGTTACGGAGAGTCGGCGGCTTTGCGCACCACACAGGTCAATTCGATTTGAACACCATATATAACAAGTTTTATATAACAAGTGAACAAGTGAAAAGTATTAAAGGAAAAGTTTTAGAAAAAAAGTACATATGCATAAATATGTTATATGTGTATGTGTGTGAGTGTAGTAGAAAAAAACGCATCAAAAAAAGTAAAGTACTGTTACGATGATCCAAATAAGCTACAACTCCAGTTGAGATACTGCTGCCCCTAAAGAAAATACAAATAACTTCTCTAAAGTTACAATTAAATCCCGATTATTAATTGACCCAAATTAGTGGCATGTGGTAGATCGACTGCAACTCTATATTGGAAAGCTAAAAATTAATTTCCACATTACAATAAATTAACTACAATAGATAAAATTGGTCACTGCACGATTTTGCTTTTTGTTCTTATCTCTTATTCTTTGTTATTTTTTTTTATTGGAGTTCTTTTTAAACAACATTATTATGCATTACATCAGACACTTGTACATATAAGGATATTTTATCTTACAATTCGTCAAGAAGGCTTACATTACATACGACTTGTCTTGAGTCTCGAGATACATTTTTCATACTTTTTTTTTCACATTTAAATAACAAGCTGCAATATGTACACATTTTGCTGTTTTTATCTTTTCCTTAACTTTTTTCCCAGCGATGTTAAGTCTGTACTTATATATGTTTATTGAGATATATATATATATATATACATTATGTCGTTTTTATATCATCTATTGCTGATGATAAATACCATGGGTACCAGTCTCTCGCCGGTATCTGTTGTCAGGTCAGGTCACAGTTAGCCAGTTGCAAGCAGCCCGCCATAATCGCACTGGGACGTTTTAGCCACCTGCAGACCAAGTCACAGAAACTGCGTTAATGGCGTTCCGGAGCCTATTGGAGATGTTTGCATTGATCCTAGTGTCTCTGTGCATTTGCTCATGCCCAAATAATCCAAATATCACTCAAATCAGCGGAAATTACTCTACTCTGTATTATCCAGCAGGCAAGTGTGTGTCGCTGCGACACACGTATTTGATCTCAAGTAACATTTAACTCGATTTGACTCCAGGTACTTTCGTGTCGTGACGTAACATGATGGACTTGAGAATTCGATGCTCGACTGTTCACAATAATTCCGACCCCAAAGTTCATTCACGAAGCCTCACAGTTCAATTCAGAGAGATCCCACACAAGCATTGGACGGATTTGTCAATCGTTTTCGAGCAATTGACTAATCTGAATTTGACCGTAAACTGTACTGTGAATAAGGAAAGGATGACTCGTAACTTGTTCAAACGTGGATTTTCAAAATTATATTCTATAAAAAAAAATAGAAATACAAATACAAATGTCATTTCTTAGAGAGTATATTATAAGTAGATCTACATATACATACAAACTTTATCAATGATGAAATTGTGACTGCCCTCCATTAATTATAGGACTAGAAGAAAGTTTAAATCGGCTAAGTAAGAACAGAAAGAAAAAATTTACAAAAAAAGTTAGAAAGCTTGAAAAAAAAAAAATCAGATGGACACATACCTCATAATAAATAACACATGTGTAAAATTGTAATCACAGCATAATAATGAATATAAATTACATATTTACCTTATCTTTATTTGACTAAGCAATATATTTCAAATAGATTTACTACGAGTGCATAAGGTATCGGTAGGATGCAATAAAATTGTTCAATTGTATAAAAAATTCACATTTTTTTTTCAAATATTTCTGTATATAAAAATATCTGACTTGTAAACAATTCCTTTGATAAATAGGGTACCGAGCTGCAAAGTGACGTCAGATCTGTCGTGCCCGCGTACTCTCTGCGTTTCAAACGACGCAAGCATTGAAGGGGAGCATTGAACGACGTTATCACGGTAATGAAGAGGGGAAGAGGAGGAGGAGGAGGGGGGAGGAAAGAAAGAAATAAAGCGGCAAAAAAAAATCGAACATGAGCGTGGGAACAACATGCGACGCGTAGGAGTCTTTTTTGCTATGGGTCGGCCGGTCGGCGCGAAGAGAAAGAAAGAGAAAGAGAAAAAAAGACGCGTCCGAGCTACAACAATAACGTAACTCCCGCCGTATTCGCGGGGGACGCCGGGGAGCAAAAAGAAACGCACCGGCGAATGCGTCGCGGCGTAGCGACGCGGGATGATCGCGCGAGCGAGCGATCGGCGAGCGAATGGCGACCGATGCGCGTGGATTACATCTCGCCTCAAATCGGCCCATCGCCATCTTGTCCGTGCCGTGTCGGAAGCGGAGACAGACCCGCCGCAAGAGACGCCGACCGAATTCGCGGGAAACCGCCTCGGCGGGACGCAAACGCCAATCGTAATCAGTTTACCGTTACCGGGATTACCGAGGAATGCCGGACACCGCGAACTATGCACGATCACGCGGCCGGATCTTACCGGAGTTTTCAATAGATTGATGAAGGAATATGGAAAAAATCTTACCTGTCCTCCTGCGAGTCCTGACCATTCTCTACGGCGTCTCCGCCGCCACCGTTACCACTCTCAGCCTCGCCGTTCTTCTCGAAATTTTGCTCCGCTACGTCGTCACTGAAGTCCTTGTTCTCTTGCTGATCAGCCATTGTTTATAGTCGCGTTTTATGCACTCGTCGTGTCAACGATACAAGGGAAGATCGAGAATACAGAAATTAATCACAATCGCACTTATATCGGAGGACGACTTCGGCGAGATGGATCCACGGTCAAGGGAGACGGAGTGAAGTGAGAGACAATGAATGGAACGTCCGCGTCGGTTTTTGGAACGCCGAATCGACCTGCTCTCTGTCGGAAGGAACGCGAAAACCAAGTTGGACAAATTCGAATCTCGACCAATCGGGATCTGTTGAAGTTTAATATCGATAGTATCAAAAAATTTATAAGATTATAAAACTAAAACAAGGGCTACGAGCTAAGCTGGATCTTAATGCTAGATTAACTACAATAACATAAGTTTATTAACAAACGTTTCGACCCCTATTGGGTCATTCTCAATGTTGAAATTACAAATTGAACTCAACGACTCATTTAAAAAACAATTATCACTTGCCAACACATATGATGATTTAGACGGTAAATGTAATATAATATAAATTCAACATCGTGTATGTAAAATTTCGATATGGATGGTTACGAGCATTATTTAATATATAAACCTGAAGAAATAGATGATAAAATATTCGGATAAATAATTGTAGATGCGTTACAACGCATTATACGCGGTCATCAAACGATCTTATACAGTGATCTTAAAATCGCAGTCGCAACCGTTCTGACTTGCACTCTCAAACCGACAAATAAACCAACTTTAATATTGTCTAAAACATAATTAACGAACAATTGTATAATAATTTGCAAAAATAAAAGCAAGTCGCAAGCTATCAAATTTCTCAACTCATACACAAAATTTCCATTATGATGATACGGTTATATAAATAAAATAGATATAAAATTAAAAAAAGTTAAAAAAAATTTTTTTACTTTTTTTCGATTTTAGTGTAACATTTTAGTTTATTTTAGTTTTAATTTAATATCGATGTTATAAAACTAGTCAATCATAGCTATTCCTCTGAAGAATGGAATGATGTGATTGATCAGTTTCATAACAATGTTACCTTCGGCATGAATGGAGCCATGTAAACGTAAATTATTTATAATTTATCAACTTATGTCTTAATCTGTAAGAATTGACCAATCACAGTCGAATGAGGGAAATAACGACTATGATTGGTTTAAAGCGTTTTTTGATTGATCAATCAAAGCATTTGAAGCAAGACTTTTACCACAGCTGAAATTGATAAAATAATTGATTTTTACAGTTTAATATGAAAAAAAATTTATATTACAGACAACGAATTATATAATATAGCTAGAAATTTTACAAGAAACACTTCCGCTATTAAATTAATTAGCAATTAGATTAGCGCACGTCGATACTTACAACCAAATGATTGACCCGCTTTTCATCTTCAGTTGGGAGGCGCGCCGTCAGATGGCGCTATCAGTGTTCTCAAGAATTCGCCGAGGTTTTGTTGGCCCCCTCCCCTCCTCGTGGTCGGCATCTGGCCTCGCGCGATGATTAGATTAATTAGATCGTACGGTTAGGATCGTCTAGTTTGTAGGAATCGACTGACTTATATTTGTTATTATGGCTTCCTTGGTTGCGGATTACGGGACTTCCTCCGGTTCGGACGGCGAAACGGATGACGACGTTTCGGATAATGCGTAAGTTTGGGACGTTGCGTAAAAGCCGCCCTCCGAATTCCGATCGCTTCTGCCCTACTTTCTTTTCTTTTTTTTTTCCGCACTCATTGGCGCGATTCCGCTCCAGTTTAATCTTTCGCGAAGTGCACAATGCTGACGATCATAACGTGGGACTGGCAGAATCTGTCACATTACAGAATGAGAATTGAGTTTGACAAATCCTGCAAACGCGAAACTTGATATATTGGGTGTTTTCCATCAAGAGATGCAGTTATCTATTTTTTATTTATTTCTCACTTTCGTCAAATATTAAGTATATACTTATTTCACTTTGCGTTTGAACAATGTATACTACTTCAGCTGTAGAAAACAGACCTATAGTAGCAAAGTGATCATTTTATTTTTGTTCAATATTGATAGACAATATGGGTGTATATTTACTTCTATCAATGATAGAAGTAAATATACACCCATATTGTTTATCAATATTAAACTATGATTAGTTTAATATTGATAAACTTTAGCAGAGTAACTATAATTTCGAGTGTGTCAATCTACTTTTTACCTTCTAGTTCTAGAATAAGAATTAGTTATAGCGAATTCAATTAGACGCACTCAGTGCGCACTGGTGCATATTAAAGCCATTGTACACAAAATGTAAAGATATGTTTATAAATAAACATAGAAATTGATTAAATCTTAAAATACCCAATATATTTTATTGTACTATTAGATAAAATATATATTTTATAATTCAAAATATTTGCATTTCATTTTTATACTTAAATCAGTATATAACGGGTTTAATATGCACTAGTACACACTAGTGCTTCTAATTGAATTTGCCATTAGAGAGATAGAGTAAAAAGTTTAACCCGAGAGAAAAGTTAAAGTTAATCTACATTGATAGAAATAAGCTGTAATTATTCACTGTGTCACACTGTGTTATTTTATATATGTTTATATATGTTATGTTTAATAGATATCTCTTGCTGGAAACACCTGTTAAAACCTGCTCTACAATGTATATTTTGTTTTCTGTTTCTTGCTTTTTATATCTTATTTTTTTCCTTTTTTGCAACCATTTTATTGACATTGGCGTTTCTTGTCTCTTCTGAAGTTCATTAGCTTTTATCTCAAACCACAAAGAACGAAGAAACTGGATAAAAAATAAAAAGGCAAGAGGTAAAAAGTGATAAAAGCAAGAAACAGGAAATACATAGTAGATCAGGTTTGAAGATTAAGGAATATTCTTCTTAATATTATTGTCAATATTACAATGAAAAAAAAGAATATTTTCCCAAGCATTCATTTGAGTTCGGCAACCGGTATATACATACAGAATGCGGCTTGTTCTTTGTAATCTGATATTGCCTCACCGTTAGCTTTAAGGGTGTGGAGAAGGTGGAGTCAGATGAAGAGGACGAAGAAGAAGAGAATAACAAAGAGGAGAACAACAGGGATAATGGTGGACACGTAAGAATAATTGAAACAACAGCTTCCAAAGAAAAGCTTCCATTACCCACGCCAGATTTCAACAGCGCGTCCACGTTACTGAGGACTTCAGTATTCCTGAATCCATTTGTTGAGGCAGAGCGAGCAAAGAGTGCGATCCTGGAGAAGCATGTAAAGATGACGCCCACGTTAGACGACACGAAGATGATAAACGGCCGCAAGATTTGCTGGAACTATCGGAAGGGTCGTTGCCGTTTCGGCCACAATTGTACTTTCGCCCACGACTCGGATTTGCATCGCAGCGCGGCCGAATTGGAGGCCCTACGAACGCCACAGGAAACGCTGGTCTGTCAAACTCGGTATAATGGGCAACAGCAACTGCAGCAGCAGCAACAGCAGCAGCAGCAGCAGGTACCGCCGCTCGCGAACGACGACGAGAATGAGGTAGATCAGGAGAACAATCAGACAGCGAACAGAAAGCGTAAGAAAAGGCCCGGCCTGTGCCAATTGTTGCTTCCGAGTAAAAAAGTCTATAAGCAGTTTAAAGCGCAACAACAACAACAGCAACAACAAACCAAAACTAGATGAATACTATTTCTTTATTTGATATAGTAATAGGTTGATGAAATTGTCTTCTAGCCGAGTCGTTATATATTTTTTGCGAATCGGAAAATACGCGCAATATGCATCTCTCCAAAATATTAAACAGACCTTGCGGACACTTTTAATAAACAAAAATTATGAAAAAAATTTGGCAAAACAGAAATTGTGAGAAAGTAAAAATTATAGGAGAAAAAAGATCATAGCGAATAATTTTAAATTCATTCTTATATTACGCTTTTGAGAATCGAATTTTCATCTTTTATCAAAAAATAAAATGGAACCTATTAGCGTATAGCGATGAGACTAACCGAGATCTTGCATATTTCATCTAAGGTCTAGCTTAATATTTAATTAAAAGATTGCGCGAATAAAAAAATTTGTTAGATATATAAAGGAAAAAGAAAAAATTCCGACTTATGCTTCCAATATGAAGAAACATACGATGTGTAGAATAGGAACTTTTAATTAAGAGAAACTTTTGTCTCATAAATTCGCAAAGACTATCCAATGTGTGCACAAACAGACGCATGTTGCGATCTTCTTAAAATTCGTCTTTTGTAACGCAATGAACGCATAAATCATGTCTTCTTGTTATTTCGTTTTCTCATATTTATCATCTTTAGCTAATTATTTACTAAATATTTGATAATACTGTTTGTGAGAGTACCAAATAACATTTTACGATTCCATACATAGAGTATGTAATATCATGATAGAATCCGACTGAAATCACATTTTTACTTCCGACCGAAACCGAAAACGAATATTCGGTTGTCATTCAATTTCGGCCAAAAACGGAACCAAAACCGAAACTTAGATAAGTCTTATTAAAAGAAAAAATGAGAGAGAGAGAAGCTAAAGGAGTTATATTTTTTTCAGCCGGAGTCGAAGTCGATAATTTTTTGATTAATTTTATGGAGACCGTATGATTTTCAGAAATCATGACAAATTTATGTACTCTTTAAAAAACAAGATTTTATTAAAATATCTAACTATAATAATATAGCATCCTCTTTTAAAGAAATCAAATGTTATTGAGGCCATATCAAAGCTTGTCTTAAGCACAAATTGTCTTAAGCTTAATAAACGAGTTAATGATTAAAATCAAATAGTTATTTTTTTAATGCTCACCGGCGCGTTGCAATTTGTGCAATTTCGGTTTACCCACCGAAATTTTCTCTTAATTTCGACCAAAACCGAAATCAAACCGAAACCCCGATTTTTGTCCGAAACTGACCGAAATCGAAACCTCCAAAATTTCGGTCGGACTCTATGTCATGATATTTGGCGAATTAGGAATACATCCCGCTTTCCACATTCTTTATACCCACATGCGAAGAAACATCCTATATACCTGACACAATAGTACTTCCATGCGTTTTTGTGAATTTAGGAGTAATCCAAGCGCAATTGCTTGATTATATTCCTCTTTTTTATAAGATATAAATCTTTATTTTTTTTTTTACATTTCCTTATACTGCGATCGATGAGACAAATCGATACTCTTAAATCAGATGTAATATTGTAGATATTGTGAATGATGGAGAAAAGTTGTTTAGTAATACATTAATCTTTTTAATAAAAAAGCAATTACGATAATAGATTGAAACAAAATAGAAGGATCGTAACAAACTAAATGTTTACTTTCCACTCTAAGGGTAAGTCCACAACCTTGCTTTAAGAGGCCGTAAGCTGTAAGTTGTAAATGACGATATATCGGCCACAGAGCTTATACTTTTAGGCCGTAAGAATAGGGTTTTGCTCTATTCGCTTAAGTCTAACGGTTAAAGCCTAAAGACTGCGCAAAAACAGTCTAAATACAGAAATTGTCACTTAATCTCTTTTGACTTATGACTTAAGGCTTCTTAAAACAAGGTTGTAAACTAAGTGGTTAAACAGTGTTTTACTAATACGTTAATTGTCTGTTGGAAAAAAGGATAATGATAAATAATTACGATAATAGATCAAAATAAGAGAAACAGTGTAGAAAACTAAGAGTTTATCTAAACTGTAACTCGAAAAAAGAGACTCCTCCTTTGTGAGGATTTCTAACAGGTTGCCAATAAATGATTCAGCTGTGCTGAAACAATGTCTTGCTTAATTCGTATTTTCTTCTATACCTAATATATTAATAAAATGTATAACGCATAAATACCTTTAAAAGACTGCTACAGCAAAAGGCAAATATTTAAAGTTTAATTTAATTATTTAATTAGAAAAAATAGATAAAAACGTAAAAATGAATCTTTAAAATTTTTCATTTAAGGTTATTCAAAAAATATATCTTTAATCACAAGCCATCCTAAATGGAATGTTATTCAGAAATGTTAAGTAGAAGAAATAACTACAGAATTAAAGTGAAAATTAACTTTTCATTTAAAAGAAAGAGTTTCTTTTGAAATGTTTTAAATAGGTTTAGCACATGGTGGAGACATAAGACATGATAGGCACGTGACATTGTTTTATTAGACGCTTATGGGTACAACGTTCTGTTCTTCAGATCCATTATCTACGTAAACTGAGTGCGTATTGATAACTCACCGTTGTATCATCGAATGAAAATATAGACTTTCGTGTTTTTATACATATATATATTTTTATAATATATACATATATATTTCTTTCTCTTTATTTCCGCGAATGAATGTTTCACAGGCACTTCATCTCTAAACAGTAGCAAAAATTTGTGAATGATTACTTTGGTGTGTAGAAAATGCGAAAGCGACACGTATGGATAAGCGTCATCGCAGAATTCATCACCAAGTTTTAGGGTCACGAGCAAAATATACAGGATCTCGTAAGTTATACTTTTCCATCATCTCTTTTTCCAGTAAATCTTTTGTCCCGCTGTTTGTGAGATCTCTCGCAATTACATCGACAACACATATTACAATTAATCACAGAAATGATAGATTCAAAAATAATTGCGCCACATTATATACAATTAACTTAATTACTTCTAGGCAAGAACACCTATTAAGTACTGATATATTCGATCGTTAAGAATTTACCATTATTACAACAGGTTGTTCTACGCCATTGACATATTTTTTGAGTGAGTTATCAGATTACAATTTCATAAGATCTAAAGACTTAGGAATTCCTATATACTAAAAAATATATACAAATCTCTCAGAAAGCTTGAGAATACTCTATAAAAAAAGCTTTGGTCTGCCCAACGATAAAAAAGAATTCATTCTCATATTAATTGCTCGAAAATATTTCGAATACAGCCTTGTACTATCTTCAATCCTTAGTCAGAAAAAACTTTATAATTCAATTTTCTTTTATAAAAATTGAAATCGAAAATTCAGAAAAATTTAATTTAAAAAATAAAAAATATATAAGTGTGTGTGTGTGTGTGTGTGTGTGTGTGTGTAGGACAGCTTTTTAAAAACAGTAATAAAAGAAACATTGGATAACACCTTAAAAAGTGTTATACAAGTATCTTTCCCTCCAATTAAATAAAAAACCTATTATTCTCTATAATCAAATAAGCTAATTTTAATCTAAAGATTTTAGAAATTCACAATTTCCAATCTTAATTAGAAGATAAAAATATTATATTCCGAGGAATTTTGTACTAAAATTGCCGCAGGTGAATTCGTGCTTCAAGAATTTTGCGAAATATCTCGATATTAATTTATTTTCTAGTATATACACACGTCGTTAGAAATGTCTAGCCATCTGAATTTGCAGGAGTATTGAGGTATGTTCAAGAGGCGCGTTCCTTTTTAAATATTCGTGTATTTAACTAATGATTATTCAAAAAACGATAACGTAAACTTAAAATTGAATTAAATTTAAACAATTGTCACATTATATATGCTGTGAGAAAGGAAAAATACGACAAATTATGCAAAAAATTATGTAAATTAATTTTTCAATTACTTTTTTTATTAACTTAACTTTTAATTCAAATTTCATTATGGATCCTTGTATCTCAACTAAGTTGAATTTACCAGGCTATTAACTTTAACTTAACTTAGTTTAAAAAAAAAAAAGTTGTCTTATCCAATCCTGCTTATAAATTATTAAGTTTAGTTTCAGTTTAGTTTGAATTTAGTTCAATTTTAAGTTTACGTTATTGTTTTTTAAGTAACTATTAATCATAATGTATGAATATTTAAAAAAAAAGCGCGCCTTGAACATGTCTCGATACTCCTACAAATACAAATAGCTAGGCATTTCTGACGGTGTGTGTACATGTAGAAATTTATGCAAGTGCTAAAGATCTGATAGCTCACTTTAAAACTTCGCTTTTAAATTTCGATATTGCAGTACTGTATCAGCTATGTATCGCAAAATACTACATTGTTGGAACATAAATTTTTAACATCTTTTGTGACTTTTTTTTACATTAAGTACGTTACAGAGATACTTAACATATTTAACATATTTGAATTCCTTGTATCTCAGAAATTTTGCGATAATTCCAAGAGAATTTTCTAATAATTTCTTAGGATATGTGGCCCGATAACATTTTGTTTTTTCAAATGCTCGATATTTTTCTTTTTTAAGATTCACATTCTCAAAACGCTGATTTCTTGTAATACGATACGCACATTTCTCTATCACAATCATTCTTCCGAGCTTTCAAAAGTTGTTGGACAATACTTGAAGCATATGAAGAGTAAACTAGAGTAAAGTAAAGCAAAGTACAATACTTGGTGCATCAATGCACATCGCTCATTCAATGGAGCTGTATTGAAACTTGCTAGGACCTCGTTTCATCAATGTCGCGTAACTTTAACTTTTGTTCAGTTCATCTTTAATTCTTCTTTAGCTCATTCTTTATCTCCTCTTTCTTGTATAAATTCAAAAAGAAATGATGTGAGAAGTGTGATGAAACTTATCAAATATCACACGAAGGACGAAAGTGACAATTTTAATCGACATTTCCTACAAATATTATTTTTTCATCTGAAATTTTAGAGATTTTTTAAAATTGTAAGAAAATGTTAGAGAGAATGAAAAATTTATTATTTAAAAATCTGTTAAATATCTTAAGATTTTCTGAAATTTCGTGCAAATTTCGTCATATTCTTGGAAGATTTACGTTGGATCCTAATTTGGATCCAAATTTAATCGACGTTGACGAAACTTGGCCGTAAGACCCTCCACGAAAATTCCTTAAGTACGACACGCAAATTTGATTAAAAAATAGATATTATCTGTGTGAAATTTTAGAAGTCTATCGCACTAGCAGTTGTTTACTCAGTATTAATTCAGATAAGATTCGCATCGATACTGAATTTAAGTCCCTGTTACAATTCAGAATTGTTTGCGAATTGCTTATTAAGAGACTTTATTGTTTCTTTAATCTTCCGTCTATCCTTAGAATCTATTATCAAATCCATTCTTCTGCGGTTTATCGACTTTTAATTCTCGCAAACTCTCGTCGGGCCTCATAGTTGAATCGCCATTGCGAATTTCTGATTCTTGGCCATCGCCGTTTATGTTACATCGCTCGGCAAACGTCGCCTTACCGTTGGTCAAACCATTTCGGGCGCCATTGACGCTCTTGTTAACGATCGTCTGTTGACAGTTTATAATCGGATTCAATGTGCTACCAGCTTTGCAATCGATTCCGTTGCTTTGTATCGTGGTCGTTAGATTCTTCGAAATCGGTATCCCTTGATTGTCTGCCAATTGCATAGCGCCTGCAAAATGTCAAGCGCTATTCATTTACATTCAGATACAGCGGTTTCTATCATTAGTAATCTCAGATAGTTGCTATTTAATGCGGTTAAACTACGTGAAGCTCGAATGGCCGAAAAAGTTTAAATCATCGAGCCACGTTTTTCTTTATATATTATAGGTATATAAGAAGTAAACTTTTTTAGTCAGGTCATAACAGATGATATAAAAATGAATGTACTTATGTAACAAAATAAATAGATTTTTTAGTTACAGGATTTAAGTACGTCAATACAATACCATGCAAGTTGTGGCAGTATTTATTGGTACTGTTCCATTCCTCGAGTAAGCTGAGGTTGAACATGCTGTAGTCTGGATTACCGGTGACTTCCTTCTCGATTATGAGGAATTGAGGCAAAATGTTTTTCAACTTATCAGCCGTCAACGCTGTATACGTTTCGAGTAACATCAAGCCTCGACATCTGTAAAGTATGCAAAAGTTACATTATTTAGAGCGACACGATGTTTTTTCTTCTCTTCCGATGAATAAGTACATACGTAAGAATGAAGCAAAGGTCTTAGCAGAAGCGAAAAAGATGCGTTTTTTTAAAACTAAATATTTTAATATTTAATAATCTGAATCTTGAAATTAATTATAATCGAAATATTTCTCGAGATATATTTCGGTATGCACACGCTATTGCGACAAGTATAAAAAGTTCAATCATGTAAGATGTTTTGCATTTAATAAGTTCATTTTTTATTAATTTTTCGATAAATATAGAATCGACTTTTCCATCGAAAATGGATAGAGTTTTAATTCAATGTCTTAATTCATTCAGTGTTGAGAATACTGTTGTATTACCTGGGATGCGCCGGTTCTCTGTATATGTCTAATTGAAAATACTGATTGTTGATTAGAAAGCAACGGCGACGTTTGAAGATAGTGAAATGCGAGTCGTCGCGCTGAGCCAACATATTCAGGTAATCTCGATGCGTCAGCTGGGTCTTCACTTCGATTACTTGGCCGCATAGTTTTGGTCGACGAATTGTGTGAATATATGACCAGTGACCTTTTATAAAGAATAGAAAATTCAAATTATACCAATACTCGAACCTTCATTCAATGTAGAAAAGTAAAATATGACAATGATGTGATACTAATTCAAAGATACTTACAAAAAATTATCAAATTTTCTCATGATAATGATAATAAACTTCTCTCTTTCAAGTGATAATGTGCTTTATGAACAATTGGATCACTAAAGGGAGCAAGAGCTTTTCGTCGATCGGAAAGTGATGATTTACCTTTCTGACCGCGCTTGCGTAAACGGGCCTGCATCTTGGGATTGTTGCTCTGGAGGTAATTATGCACGACGTCGAAATCCTGGAAAGGCGGGAATTCGCTATCCGCCGGCAGTGGCGCTGTCACGAGGAACTTGACCTTGCGGCTGCTGGCGCGCAACCGGTCGCCGGTGTCGATGCCCAGTTTCT